AGTACCACTGACAGGTGACCAGTTTGCATTGCTAACTTGTGATCAGCTTGATTAAACATTTTGATTCTGTTGACACAGAAATCATTACAATAAGGAGAAGACACCAAACTATGGCTGTCTGTATCTCTTGTCCTAACTGAAACACCACATCACATGAAAAGAAATTCTTATTTTTAAGAGGTGTTACTTTCTTGAGACAGGGTCTTTGCAAAGTCACTGAATTGCTCATGCTGGGCTCAAACACGTGACGCTCCTGCCTCAGGCTCCCAGTGTGCTAGGACTAGAGGTGTGCACCAAACATCATCACGTCCAGCTAGAAAACTGGAAATGTGTACTTGCTGAACCTTCTGTCTGTTCTTTGGAAACCAGGTTAAGTCTCAACGGGCAACTTTTCTTAGAAAAGTTTGGAAAACACCTTAACTTCCAAACATTCAAAAGATCTAGGTGGAGGGAAATAGAGAATGGTAGAAACAAACAAACAAACAAACAAACAAACAAAAGAGCCTGGACTTGATCCATGCTGACATTTTAAAATCAAGTCAACCTCCTCCTTAGCAGCCCAGCATGAGGTGATCCCTGCCTCTTCTGAACTTGAAGATTTTTATCTTCACCATCTGGCAGCTAATCACTCAGCATTCCCTGGTATCTTTTCTCTTGTCTTCTTTGCATTTGGTCTTGTCATTTAATTTTTTACAGATTTATGTCTGGTCTCTTTATTAAGTTCCCACTAACAGCTCACATAGGATGGTTTTGCTAATGAAAAGTGGCCAGGAAAGACACAAGAATCTCTTTGCCAGGGAGAGACAGCAACTAATGGGAAAGAACCCTGAAGGAGCCCAATGAGACTCTTCCTAAAGACATCCTTAGCTGTGCAGCAAAACTGCTGGACACCTTCCTGCTGCAAAACTTAGAAATAGACTGGAATCTGTGTTATTCATAGTAACATCAGCAAAAATCACTCCTCTACCTATCTCTTCTTCTCTAAAAATGACTAAAACAAATTTAATTCTCAAGGAAAGGACCCACTCAAGGACTTATTCCACCTTTACCCCTTTCCTGTTTGAAATTCTTTTCCCTCTAATGTTATCTCCTGAAATGTAGAAGGTATCGAGGTCTCATGCTAACCTGGGGCAGCACGTCTCCTCTCTCATCTCTGGAAGTCCCCATGCCCTGTGCCTGTTTCCACCAGTGGCGGAATGAATCCTTTCCCAAAAAAGGGAACTTTCCTACACCGTTGATGGGAGTGTAGACTAGTGCAACCACTGTGGAGGTTAGTCTGGAGATTTCTCAAAAAGCTGGGATTGGAAGTCCCATTTGCTCCAGCTATTCCACTTCTAGGCATATTCCCAGAAGAACTGAAAACTCATTCCATAGTGAGGGTACAACAGGCTCTGAGTAGTCCCTCTCTTGAGTTTAAGTGGTACTGGTAAAAATGAGATGGCCGTTCCTTTGCTTAGGATCCATGACATGGCAAAGTGACAGGATATTTCTATTATATTGTATGTGTCTCTTTCAAACAGACCAAAGGGAAATTGGAAAGAGAGAAGCCATCCTCCTGCTGGCTCTGGAAAAGTAAGTGTCTGTGAAGCATGGGAACCGCGTGACTAGGCTGCAAATGACCCTAGAGGTTAACAGTGACCTCTGCTGATTGCCAGTAAGAACATGGAGACCTCTGTCCCACTTTGTGAAGAAGTTCTAGTGGAATTAGTGAACATGGAAGATGCTCGAGGCCTGGATGAGCTCACTGCTGCAGTTTGCACTGTGATGCTGGCCGGGGACCTTGTCTACAGAAACTGAGATAACCGGTGTCTGTGGTTTTAAGCCGCCATGTGTGGCAGGTTGTTGCCTAGCAGAGGAAAACAAACACAAACCTTGTGCTATGGTTTGAATATGTCCCCTAAAGTTCACACATTAGAAACTTAACTTGTATTATTAGGTCTTTGAATGTAAAACCTTGGATGAAGTCATGAGGAAGGGGATTCTGTGATGGCATTAGTGGCTTGAGGAGAAGACAAAGAGACCTGAGCGAGCACATCTGTTATTTCACCATGAGAGTCCTCCCTCCACTGTGTTATGACTGACGCAGCATGAAGTATGTGCTGGCTCTGTGCTCTGGACTCCCCAGCATGTAGAACCATAAGTCAATAAACCCTTTATTAACTGCCCAGTCTCAGGTGTTTTGCTATAGCAACAACACAAAGACATTCATTTCCCTCTTCGCTTCTACTCTCAACTATGGAGAGGAAGAAAGTGTCAATCAAAAAGTCACCCCCAGATGAGAGACTGGTAAAACTGAGTAACATTTTCCTCCAGGAAGATTGGGGTCTGCACTGGGAAACGCCTTATTCTTCCCCTCTGTACCATCCTTTCCTCTGCAAACTCCAAACACATCTGAGCATCACCATTGCCAGGAGCTCTCGGGTTGCAGGGTCCTCTTGACCTTCATAACCAGCCTGCCAGGCATGACTTGCTGATTAGCACCTTCTTGGAAATAACCCTGTTCTTTGCATCACACAAAAAGCACCATGGACACTGGAACTTAAAATTTCCTGACTGAATTCCCTGCTCTGTTTTCACTGTGTACTGCGGAATTGCAGTCATTTTTCCATATCTGGAGGTGGGATACTAGAAAGAGGAGAATCCCCCAAATAACAAACTAGCTTGACTTTGACTCTGTCCTAGAAGCCATGGCCTCAGGGGCCTGACTGAGAGCTCAGAGAGGAAAGAGACCAATATATAAGGTGTGACATCTGCTCTCTTGTCTGTATCTGGCCTCATTTCTCTCCAGCATACCACACAGGGACCAGGACACTTTCTTTTGCTTTGAAGGGCTGGGGCTCAGCTCAGGAAAATCCCTGGTCTGTTTCCTTCTTGTGGTCCCTTACACAGTGGCAGATCCAGAAGAGTTGGTGTCCTTGGTTGCATGGGCAGTGGCCACTGGAGGAGGGAGATACATCTTCTCTGTGTCCATCAGAAGACATGATGACCCTTATCTGAGCACAGTTAAGTCCAGACAGGAGGACAGGGGAGGAGAAACAAGGTACTTCCTAGGAACCACACCCTTTACTAGTGATTCCTTTAAAAAGCAAATAAAAAATGAAAGAGGACAGTGAGGCTTAAAGCAGGGTAAAAAGAAAAGTGGGAGAGAGTGCCCTGAGTGGGTAAGAGGGGAAGGGAGGTGACAGTAGGTAACAAGACGCAAATACCAGTGAGCACGGCACCCTTCATTACAGACTGAAGTCTGCTGCATGAGCAACTGGTCTTTCTCGCTTGCTTACTTTCTTGTGTCTTTCCTCTTTTTCCTGAGAGATAAGAAGAAATAATATTCAAACAGCCAAAGTTCCAAATCTGGGATCCTTTCTGAGAAATGCTGAAGACAAGTTAATGAAGTTCTAATTCCTAGAGAGATTAGCCCGTAGCCCTGGCTTGGGGCCACCTCCCCAGAGCTGCCCATCTGCTTCGATAGCGCTCTGTTCTGGCGGGGGGGGAGGGTGGGGATGTGGGTACGTTTTTCCCTTGTTTTACTGTCTTGTTTTTTCCTTTTCAGATACTTTTCCCCTTCTTGCCTCTAAAGCGGGAGTAGGGAATGGTCCTTTGCTTCCTGTCATCAACATAGAACTATTTTTGGGTATCACTGAAAAACACGGTACCCATCCCTGTGTCCCACCATTTCTCCCCTGCCCCAGAGTTTGTGAATAAAGAATCATGCCTGTTTTCTCTTCCACTGCTGCCAATCCTGAGCCTGACACTCTCCACGGTGTTCTATTATGAAATGTCCAAGCATTCATCAAAGTCGAAAGAGTCTTGAATGGACATCTACCTCCTGCATTCTAGAATGAGCCTTTACTATAAGTTGTTTTAGGACCTGTCTCCCCTCCTTTCCATCTCCCTGCCTAACATCTTTTTGTTATTGTTTTACAAAGCACTCTGAAGTAAATTGCAGTCCCCTGAAATCTTCAGCATGTGCCTAGTAAGAGGAAGTTCAGTATTTGTTGGTGGGATTTTCTTTCTTCTGTAAACATTAACTGTGATGAGATGCACACATCTTCTGTGTATTTTGGCGGAGTATGGAAATGTAGAGCAGCTGGTAACCTGAACCCCTAGCAGCACCAAAGACCTTATCTTCACTCCAAGACACTGCCTTCGCAGTCAACCCCCGTCCCGGCTCCTATTCCAGAAGCCTCCCTTTCTGGTATTTTCCATGACAGGCCCTGTGGATGCAGTGACACTGCTTACATTCTTCCATCTGCAGCTTCCTCCTCTCGGCATGGTGCCTGTGGGACCCTCAGGCTGTCTGTCTTTGTTGGGCAGGTTCCCTGGTGTGAATACAATTCAGTGCTCATCCACTGCACTGTTCCTAGTGTCCGACTGTTGTTTGTATAGTTGAAAAGAAATCCAAGTTAAAATAACAAAGATGAAATGAACAAAAATAATTAAACAAAATACCCAACACTCATGCATATCTGCACACACACACACACACACACACACACACACAGTGTGCACACCCAAAACACGCACACCTGAGATCTTTGAAAGTTTGAATTTCATTACATTTCTTAAGTATAGTTACAATATATTTAAGAGCACAATGTATACAGTAGGAAACTTTTTGGATTAAGAGACTAAATTGATGAGTAATTAGCCCATTCTTTAAGTTATGAGCATAAAATTGAGCACATAGCCAGGAATGATGGCACATACTTATAATTCCAGCTACTTGGGAGGCTGACATAGGACTGCAAGTTTGAAGTCAGTCTGGATAATTCAGTGAGACTCTATCTCAAAAATAAGAAGTGAGGAAAGAGGTGTGGTTGAGGGAAAAATTACTTGCTAACATGCATGAAGCTCGCAGTTCAATCTCTATACCCACCTCAACTTCCAAAGGGCACAGGGTGGTAGAAAATTAGTTGTTCTTTATGCCAGGTTGGCATGAAACTACAGTTCAGGCAGGAAAAGGAAATGTACTATACATCTGAAAATCCCAGAAGGAAGAATTTTGGAAAATTTTACTGGAAGACAATGATAAATGGATTAGCATATGTGTGTAACCTCATGCAAACATCACACCATGTATACATGCATTAAAACATGGTATGGCCCCACAGTGGTATATGTGTACCCATGTTTATAGCAGTTCAATTTGTAATAGCCAGATCTTGGAAACAACTTAAGTGTCCATCAACTGAAGAATGGATAAAAAAGTTGTGGTATTTTTATGCAATGGAGTATTACTCAGCTATTAAAGAATGATCACATTGATATATTTATAAATAAATGGATGCAACTTGAGACCATACTCATAAGCGAAATAAATCAAACTCACATGTATACCGTATAGTCTCCCTAGTGTAAGAAATGGTAAGAATACATAAGAGTTTATAATAATCATGATTGCCCATTACATTGCTCTGAAGCCTTATAATGTCTGCATTCATTAGTTGGAATGGTTTTATCCCAGTTTGTTTGATTTTATTATCTGTGATAGCATAAACAACTATTTTAAAGAAAACAAGACATTAGGATAGCCAGAGCTGATTTAGTATCATCTTACTCTGAAGTCCTACTATGCTTTTGTTTTTCTGTTTCTCTTGGTTCTATCCTGTTATATCTTAACTGGATATTATTTTGTGTGACAGTATAACAAATTTGCTATGGAAAATGAGATAATATAGTAGCCATTGTTCGTTCTCTGCTATTTGGTTCTGAAAGCCCTATAATGCCTTCATTCTCTTGAATGGATTTATACTCTTTTGTTATGTTTGGTACTATCGTATATGAAGCTATGCTCAACATTTCAAAGAAAGAGACATTATGGTAGTTACTGTTAATTATGGGTTGTCTTGTGGTAAAATGCTGTGTTACTTGCATTGTTCTGATCTGATATGCTTTGTTTACGTTCTCTTTTATTTTAATCTCTTTAAAATAAAAAAAAAATTTAAAAAACCATACTATGGCAAACCATTAAATACACAAATTTATGTTTTTATACATCACTTAAGATAAATTTAAAAATACAGCTCAGGACAATGGGAAAATATCAATTTCTAAAGATGTGATTCCAGATGGAATACAAAAGTAGAGTGATAAAAAATAGCTCTTATTCTCACCAAGAAAAGTCATCGAGATTTCTTACATGGGAGGTTCATGAATGCTATTAATTTTTTGTGTGTATTGGTTTTGTATCCCAATACATTGCCATATTTCTTTGTTAATTCCAGGAGCCTTTTGGTGGATTTCTTTGGATCTTCTATGTAGAGGATTGTGTCATCTGCAAACAATGGTAATCTAATTTATTCCTCTCCTATGGCTCTCACCCAGGGCACAAAAGCAGTAAATCCTAGTGATGTTGTGAGGAAAAAGGAACGTTTCTCCATTACTAATGAGGATGAAAACTAGTACAACCACTATGGAAATCAATGTGGAGATGCCTCCAAAAACTAAAACCAGCAATTTCATCTGATACAGTTATATCTTTTAAGGGCATCTTTCTAAAGAATGAAAGAAATCATATTACAGTGATAAAGCATACCCATTTATAGCAGAAAAACTCATAATATTTAATTATAGAAGTGACCTCTATGCTCATTGACAGACAAAGGGGTAAAGAAAATGCAATGTATACATACACAGCAAGCTATTACTTTGCCAGAAAGGACACATGTGAGTCATGTGTGAGAAAATACAGGGATATTAAGAGCATAATCCTAAGTGAAAAGAAGCATATGTGGAAGGTTAAATATCATATGGTTTCTTTATATGAGAAACCCAAAATATAAATCCAAAGAGCAAAATAAAAGGGAGAGAGTAGAGAACATAGAGGTAGACTCTGTGGAAACCATAAAGGATCTGGAGAAGGGAAAAGGAGTAGGGAAGGGAAAGAGAAGTAAAAGCAATCAAGACATGAACTGTGTGTAGTCCAGCTTCTCAATATGAATTAATTAATATGCATGACAAACTAATAGAAACACAAAAATGTAAGAACTATCTGAGTGATAAAAAAAGACAAGAAAGTCCTTGTAGTGCATAGGTTGGAAACACTGCCTCGTCCTCTTGTGTTTAACAATGCTTTCCTGAGAGAAAGGTCGTGTGACATCTTAGAAACAGAAGGAGTTGGAATCTCAGCTCCACAGCCTGGCACAGCATCCGCCATCTCTGGAACCGAGCCTCATCTGCAAAATCAGGAGGTCAAAATGGATAAAGTTGAAGATTAGATTCCTTTACATACATATATACTGAACTTTAGGTGTTTTTGTCAAGTTCTGTGACTTTAAGGAAATAAAACCACCCAAAAGTTGTTTATAGAAGGAATAAGGAGAGGGAATCATTGCAAATCAAAGAGATAACTTCATGGCTGACAAAGATGACACCCCTGGTCCAGCGGGGTCACCAGAGATGAGTGAGGACCTTTGTAAGTCAGGACCATGAGTACCAGCAGGCCCATGGACCTGGCCCCAGCACCTCCTGCTTCTGTGTGTTTGTGAATGTGTCCTTGGTGGGGCCAGCTCACCCTTGCTCCCATCCGTGCCTCCTCGTCTTGCTCCTCTGCTCAGTCATGCTGTCACCATCCACCGCTTTCCCTAGGGCAAGCTTTCAGCTTCAGGTCCCATTGCTGGTATTTACTGTTCAATAAATCACATACCAGAAGTAACAAGTCAAATTGCTTGATTTTATGTCCATATAAATGCTAGCAGTCCCTTGGAACTGATCTTCGTTTGAAGGTCTGAGATGTGGAACCCTTTCAGGAGCTACTGTGCACTTGTTTTTGACAAGCGTGGCCAGGGATCAGCTGCAGGCTCACCTTCCCCATGCACCACACTCCAACAGAGGGTGGGAAAGTCAGCCTTTCATTCGTAGTGGTCTGCAGCCCTGACCTCCTGTCTGTCTATGCCAGGGACCCCTGAAGGGTGACAGCCTCCTCCGTGGGTCACACTTGATGCTTGGATTGAGGATGAATGGGACTGTCATCCACATTGTCACCTGCTAACCACACCATAGCACTGCCAGATGGAGTGGGAACAGTCCCAGGTGCCTCCGTGTGGTCGGCAGGTGCTTCTGTAGACAGTCACCACTGCTAGGAGGGCTCCACAGCAGACCTGGGATTCACACTGTGCTGACTCCAACGGTAACAATGTAAAACTTTGCTTGATGGCCTTCCACAATTTAGTGACCCATCAGCAGGCCTTTGACTTCTCAAATCAAGGACGAGGTCATTGGTCCTCAGGCACTCGACAGAGCAGTCAGTCCCCTTAGACACAAGCTCCCCATGCCAGATTCAACCAAGCTCAGATGGACACGTTTGGAAAAGAAAATGCACCCGTACTAACCATGTACAGATTTTTCTTGTTATTATTCCCTAACCGTACAGCGCAACAACATTTACACAGTATTTTTGTTGTCTTTGATGTAAGTAATCTAAAAATGATGCAAAGTGTCCAGAAGGATGCATACAGGTTATGCAGATACCACCTACACCATTTTATGTAAAGGATTGTGCATTTGTGGATCCCCAAATCCCAAGTCCTAAAGCCAATCTTCTGCAGATACTGAGGGCTGACTGTTACAGTATTTTGCACTTCTGCACCGATCTCTCAACTTTGTGCTCATTTCTTTCTATGTCCATGTTCTATCCTTGAATTGCATTCTTTGCTTGCTGGATGCTGTGGTTTAAATCTATCTGTCTCCCCAAGTCTACCCTATTCACAGGCGGGGCTTCTTGGAGGTGAGTGGATCACAAGTATGCAGTACTAAATTAGTCCAGTGGTGGGTTTATAGCTGGCTGTGATGTTGCAGGTGAAGCTTGTCAGGAAAGGGGCATTGCTGTCGGTGTGGCCAGGAGAATGCATATCTCCATCCCCCTGGATCCTGAGCTGCTTCTGCCTGCTGTGTTGTGAACTCTGTCTCCTCCGCCATGCAGCCCTGCCTTGGAGCCAGCTGACTATGAACTGAAACCTCTACAAACGGTAAGCCAAAATAAATCTTTCTTCTTTAGGGTTGTAGAGTTATGTATTGTGTCCCAGCAATGAGAGAAGAGCTGTGGTGGATTGAAAACTGGTGGTCAACTTGCAATACCCATTGAACTGAGTCAGCATGGTGCTGAAAGTGGATGGCCCGCCTGAGGACTGTTGCCAGCATAAAAAGGAGACCCGGAGAGGAAGAGTAGTGTTGTGTGTTCTCCGTGGTGCTGTGGGTTCTCCTAGAGGAGTTTGTGGAGCTTCTTCCCTGATGTGAACTTGGCTGTTCTCATCATCAGAGGAGCTTGGGACCTTGTTGTTGCTGAGAATGGCTGCAGTTCACTTTGGGGGAGCCCTGGACCTTACTTTGAGCATCTCTTCCTGGCTTCAGTGTAGAACCCTCATTCTCCTAGCACGAGTCCTTCATCTCACTGTCCTAGACTTTCTGGCTTCCACTGCTGGCCTTTGGGCCTCCCCTCACAGATCTGTGAAACACTTACATGAGTCACTGTTCTGGGCTCTAGGCCTCCAGTTAGACTCATGGGGGGCATTTTCATGGGCTCTAGGTCTTCAAATGGACTCAGGGAGGACATTGCTATGGGATCCAGGCCCTCAGCTGGATTTTTTTTGGGGGGGATCCTAGTGTGTGGAGAGATTTCCTGTACTTTTTGTTTTATATTTGATTTTTTGGGGGGTGACCCTTATAAAATAATACTATAAATTATGTGTACCATATATAATTGTTTTCCTTACAAACCTTGACTACAGCAGTAGCTATGGCACTAGATGATACTTTCCTTGGTACTCTTTCTTCAATTGAAATGACTTTGCCCAGAGACATCTGTATAGGTCCTTGTGAATTCTTTGACAATTTGACCTAAAACACAAACAGTGGTAAAGTTAACACAAAATTCATAACTATGCCTCTGCAAGACAATATCAAAGCCTAATTGGTCAACTAGTGACATCAAGTTTTCAGTCTGTGCAATTACTCATTGCAAAAGAAACAAAATATCTTGAAATCCTATGATTCTTACATAAAAGAACCCTGACACACACTTGCAAAAATTGATCATGTTTCTAACAGTGCTTAGCATTGCCAATAAAGAAGTGTAAACTTAAAACAAGCTTTTATAAACTACCCAAAATAAAAAGATAACAATATAAAAGAAAGACTAAATTGTTTTTTGGGCTTGTATGTGTGTGAGGAAGATACCAGAGATTGAACACTGGGCCTCCACACTGAGCCACAGATATCCCAGTCCTTTTTACTGTCTTAAATTTTGAGATTAGGTCTCACTAACTTTTGATCTTCCTACCTCAGCCTTCCAGAGTACTGGGATGTTTTTCTATAAAATGATAATTCAAAAGTGCTATATTACAAAATGACAAAGAATATGTTGAAAAAATTGAGAAACAGTTTTATGGAGTTAAATTGGGCATTTAATTACTAAAAACATTATTGTGTTTTCTAGAATACTTGATATTCATACATCTAATGACAGTTGATGCTGTTTCTTACATCGTTCTAAGAAATCTTTGCTTTTGTAGTGAATTTCTTATTTAATGTATGTCTTGAAAAGGGACCTGAGTTGGGTAAGTTTAAGACCCTGGACCTGGACAGGCCCTGGACATTGGCTCCTGCACCTGGGGCGGGGATTGTAGGAGAATGAAGTCATTGGGAAGGTGGGAAAGGGTCTGTCACCTAGGGAGGGCAGTTCAGAGTCCACGGTCAAGTGAAGAAAGTCGGATGAACTTCAGGATGAGAGCAAGAGAGCGAGACCTCAGGTCCACCTTCTAATCAGGGGAAAGGTGAAAAATCCCTAATAAAACAATTATTCAAGTCACGAAAAAGAAAATAAAGCAGTGAGTCAGTGGATATTCACTCACCACTTTACTTAAACTGGATGCAGAGGTCCTCCCCTGCAGAACATGGGCGCGGGGTCAAGGCCTTGCTGCCTGGTCTGGGTCAGCCCTGTGTGCTTCCTCTCTGGCTTTCTGACCCAAACCACACCCAGAAATCCTCCCCTCAGACACCGGCTTAAAGACTTACAGGAAGTTGTCTGAGTGCAGCATCCTTCCGGAGCATTCCAGCATTTCTATTCTTATACTTTTCTTGTCAATATATAATTCAGGAAGAAGCAGGACTTTCATGGCATTTTGGATTTTCCAGGTATTCAACTACATTTTTACAGGAACCGCTCTTCTCTGTACTCTTAGTTCATCAGTTTAGATGTTATTAACTAAATTGCATAATCGTCATTGCAAGTGCGGCTGTCAGCAACACCTGACACTCAGTGCCACCCAGCTCAGCTGCCAACAGCCGAAGGGGACGGGTCTCCATGAGGGCTGCTAACTACCATGTGGCCTCTGAGAAGATTTTCCATCAAGGGGAGAGCACACTTTACTCTGCACATATCAAGCAGAACATGGTCAAGACTGACTCTAAAGGTAAGTCAAGCAAGGGCACGCGCTGCAGGGTGTAGAAAGCAGGATTTTTGAAACTTGGTCAGTATGAAAGGAGAGAGAAAGAGCAAGATCTTTTTTTCTAAACCAAGCTATAACTGAGGTTAGTTACAGATTTTTTTCCGTAAAGCAAGCTTGCAGTTTCTGGTATGCTAGGAATGTAGAAGAGCCCAGAAGTACCATCCGCCCTGAATTCTGGTTAATCAAGCGGGTGCAGGTGCATTCCCCTGGGGGCCTCCTGTCCCTGGTCCTGCCAGACCTGACCTCCTGGATTTTTCTCCCAAGTTGGCCCTCTCTTTAAGGGATCCCATGAGTCTGCAGTTTCTGAAGTGACTTCAGTGTAGCATGCTCCCTAGCATCTTACCTGGTTGCGAGGCACAGAGGTGGACCCGAGCTTCTTCGCTTTAGTTTGAACATCCGGGCCTTCAAAAGTGCCACTGAGCTACATCTCTATCCCACATGGGAAGGGGAATTGCGGGGGGGGGGGGGGTTAAGCCTGAGCATGGGGTCACTCTGTGCTGTAAACTACTCTTTCTCCACGCCCTCCCTGCCTCGAGGCACAGGGGAACACCAGCACACTCCAGCTGTGCACGGGCCTGGTCACTCACCTCCCACACATACAAGCAAAGGCCTCTCCAGGGTTTTCCACCTGCTGGGGTTGGCTCATGCTCCAGGGCATGCTGCTGTGCAGAGAACCGTGTTTTCCAGGGTCCCTTCTTCCTCTCACACAATCCTTTTAGCTCTGTCTCCTCACGTGATTTTGCCTCCTTCTCTCCACCCTCACTATACCACTCAATTCCAGCCTTCCACTTCTGAGGAACTAGTGCGGGAGACCCTTAGCTAATTCTTTAGCCTTGAAACTCTTCTCATCCATGCTTCCTTTATAGAAACACTGAATATATTAATCAGCTTCTGCCGCTGTGACCAAATATATCTGAGAAAAAGAACTTGAAAGGGAAATGATTCTCTTTGACGTATGGTTTTAGAGATTTCAGCCCATGGCCAGCTGGCCGTGACACAGAAACCCCAAGGAGAGGGCGTGGCAGCAAAGAGCTGTTGGCACCATGGCATCCAGAAAGCAAGAGACCACGGACAAGCCAAGCCGAGGAGAAGGGGCAGGGACCTTTCAGAGGTGCACCTCTGTCCAGGCCCCTACTTCCTTTGTCTGGGTCCCCCTCCTACCAGCCCATTCAGCTATCAGCCCATTCATTTATTGATGAGGTGGGCACCCTCATGATCCAGTCACCTTTCTGGGCCCCACCTGTGGACATTGCTGCATGTAAATCTTTAGGGGACAACATATTTAAACTATGGCTTTGGAAGCAATTCTGACCATGTTATTTTTTGGTCTAAAATCCTGAACAGCACACACAACACACACAGTAAAGCCTGAATTCCTTAGCCTAGAGTGCAAAGCCCGCTGGAATATGGCCTTGCTTCACTTTCTCAGTGTGATGTCCTGCCGTTTGAAGGACAGGCCACTTGTTACAAATATCTTTTCCTCTTTTCTCCATGGCTACTATTGCTTGAAATTCAAGATTTGTTCCTCTTTCATTTTCTGAGACGTTTTCCTCCTTTTCGCTCAGGAATGTGTTCTTCTCTGGCTCTCTACAGTTCCCACGCAAGTCAGCAATATAACACTGAGGACAATTATTATGATGGTTCATTTATCTTTGTCTCTTAATTAATAAGTGATGAGTTCCTCAAGGGTGTAGGTTGTGTCTTGGACTTCAATATGTAGAGGGCATGGTGAAAAATATTTAAATGAGGGCATTTGTTTAAAAGCCCATGGAAATGTTAATTGGGATATCAACACTTTGAGAACACCAACACCTCCTTCATATTTTTAATGTGGCAAGTTTATGTTAAAAAAGTATAAATTGAAAGATTTTTATGAGTTTAGTTCAAGAAAGATAAACTTTTGTTTCTCTAAGGCATATATATATGCCATATATATATATATATATATATATGAGTAAAAACCAAATGTTGAAAACAAGATGTATAAAAATCAAGATTCTGAAAAACAAGTTTGCCCTAGCCTGTCTCTTGCTGTCTCAGATGCATGCCAATGGAAGCAACACAGAGGAAGAGATCCAGAAAACTGTCTTAGTGGGGTCTTTGTAAGAAATTTGTAGAAGCTATGATCCCTCTGCCTCATAATCCAATATGGTGGAAGAAGACACCAAGAGAGAACCTGAGAAAGAAATGACCACCAGGGGACATGCTTCTCTTGCTCAGGGAGCTGCAGTAACTGTCAGGCTTCCGAGGAAGATGATGCTGGAACGCAGAATTATGTCACACTCCTAGAATAGGTCAGCAAGAGTCCCACTGTTTACTCCGCACTCTGCTGAGATGAAAGGCCCTGCTGGCACAGGACAGAATGTTCCAGCACAGGATGTTGGTGTTAGAACACTGGTTATAAAAGAAAAGGGTCTTGTCTGGGGACAGTTTAGCTCTTAGCTACAACACGAGACAGTGCCACCATGGAAGCTGTCTTATTTAGTCTGAGGTTCCACAACTCTGCCTTTTATTGCCAAGAATCAGTCTAAGGACTTTTCTCACAAGCTAATCAGGGCAGTCTAAGGGAGATCAAGGCAAGGCAAGCCAGTCATGAATGGGGGAGAGCTGGTCTGTTGTGTGGGTTCCCCTGCCTACGACACCAGCTGTTGCATGCAGTTCTGTATGTGTGCAGCAGGGCCTGCGGGGGACAGGTGGCTTGAGGTTGTTTCACAAGGCCCTGTATGGGCACTTTGCCTTCTTTTATTCTCTCCATGCAGCTGTAGTGCAAGCAAAATCAAAGCCATGCTTCTGCTGGGGTTTCCCCAGGAAAGGCCCTCTCTCCCCCACTGTCCTTTAGTCCCCTACACCCTGTGGCTTTGACATAGTTTATAAACACTGAGCCAACAGCTTGTCCTAACCCCAAGGTCAGCGCCTATAGAACCTAGGGCATCTTGCAGCTGTGAGGCTTGGGAAAAACATGTGTCCTTCTAGGTGGCGGCAGGGGGCTTCATGCCAGGAGGGCCCTTTAAGGTTCCAAACCATCCTGGTTTGCCTGAGGCTTTCCTGATGTGTCACTGGTGAGGATGCACCCACGGAAGCTCTCAATCTTGGCAAAAAGAGACAATAGCCATGTACTGCCAAGCCTGCCTGAATAGCTGTGGTTGTTCTAAACCGACTCTGTGCCTCTCAGACATAGTAACTTAATGCAGCTGATGCCATTTTCCTGTAGATGTTGGCTGCCTGAGACTCCAGAGCATAATTTGTACCTTTCTCTAGAGAGACAGTTAGATGCATTTGATGCAGTGTTAGATATGTTTAATGCAGGATGGCAAATCTTCTAGAGACAAGGGCTCAAACTGCCAAGTGCCAATGGTACAATTAAACCTGAAAAAACAACTCTGAATTAACATCTTCTATCTTAAAAGAAATGCACAATAACGCATGTACCGTATGTTCACACCGTCTGAAAGTGTGCTCACCTACCTGCTGGTCAGTCCTTCTGTCCTTAGACACCTTTTCTAGGTTCATCTATGCAGCTTGAAATTTGAAATTATCTTGGAAAGACCAGCATTTGTTGGGCCCCTTCTCAGACTCCTTTCTGAGCTGTCATGGACCCTTCTTTCAAAGCCTCTCACCTTGGCTGGGATGCACGGTTGTGATAAAACAGACCTGACTTGGCCTGAGGGAGGAATCATTTATCTTAAGACGGGTTGTTATGTACAGAGGTATTTTCCAGAAGTGCTTAAAGTTTGAATGCTTGTGCTTAAATCATGCTTCCCTCCTGAATCTGCTCAACGACTTGTCCTGCCACTGGGTAACAGTGAACATCAACTCAGCAGCCACTTCAGTGCATCACTGCTGAGGTTTCTGTCACTCATTTTGCTTTAGGAAAGTCTAAGCATGGGACCAGCAGTTAGGTGGCTTGGCTGTGCTAAACCAAACTGACCAGGCTGGGACGGCAGCACGGTCAGGCTGCTTGGATGAGGCCAGTCTCAGAGGGTGGGGCCTGCAATCACAGGGGCTGCGCACTATTCTATGCCTTTGCCTGTTTTGATTTGCAGCCTGAGAAGTGCTCGTAGGCCAAAACTTCTGCTGCTTCTCAGAGAAAGAATCCAGACATTAATGAGGAAAGGAATTCAGTAGGATTTGGCCAGAGGATCGAATCTAGGACTAGCTCATCTTAGGGGAAAAAAATCACTTAGAAAATGTATTCAAAATCTGTTGCTACAATAATTCCCTTTTCCATTTATCTTTCCAGACACTTATTTCCTGCCTCAGAACAAATTCAAATGGCAAATTTAACTTTGGGTTAGAAAAAATGTGGCCTGCAACCACCGATTGCTGCCATCTGAATCGTCCAAACGGTCCTCGGGAAAACCAATGCTCATTTGATTGATTTCTCCTGGTACCAAGACAGATTATGATTCATTGGCAAGATGTCCCCTGCAGTTTGTAGAATATTTTCAAGCAATGATCATGCTGAGGAGGCCTCTGGGTCCAAAGACAGTTTCTAAACGATATATCATGAGCTTTGTTGCTGAGCAAAGACTGCATTTTGAGATCTGCGAGCTCTGCTTGCTCCTGGCTTAAGCAGGACGAAGAACCTCAGCCAATTTCACCAAAATCAGCCCCAGGCTTTGACCTTTTCCACAAACTGCAGTTCTGAACTTTTGCTGCACTTGGGAAGTAGAATTCCCTTGTCATGGTTTATGTCTGTGTCCCCCAGGCCTCATAAGTTTGCATTGTGCATTTGTGATGCTTCATTGTCTAGTGCTTGGATTGATGATGTCAGTGCTCCACCCACATAGGGGTGGAGCCAGGATGTGATGTAATGGCAGGAAGAAGGTGTGTCTTGCTCTTTGCTGGTTCCTGCTTGCTGCTGGCAGCAGCCATGAAGTGTGGCCCAGCCATGCCCACCTGCCTTGGAGCCAACAGAGTATGGACTGAAACCTCCAAAACCTGTAAGAAATAAACCTTTCCTTTCCCAGGTTTGGGCTGCAGGTGTTTTGTCTCAGCGACGAGTAAAAAATAACTAAGACACCCCTCCTCACTAAACATGGCAGTTTTTGCAGGAAAACGTAGTCAAGTCCTTGAGTTCCTGACAAGTTTAGGATACGTTCAATATGGGTTTATTTCATTTTACTTTTTCAGGACTGGAGATTGAACCCAAGGCCTCACCACTGCTGGGCAAGTGCTCCACCACTGGGCACTCCCCACCCAGCTCCTTGAGTGTGATTTATGGGTTCATTTTTTTTTTTTTTTGAGAAACCTTGTGATAGCCCAACATCTTGAAGTCTCCCTGAGCCACTGTGAAGAGCATTTGAACCAAACCAAAATCCTTTGATGTTGGGTTTTCTGGTAGGTCTTGTCCATACTAGATACAAAGTCCTATAACCTGCGCTGTGACCTGTAGGCTGCATTCTTTCCTTTCTGGAAATATTCCAGGAGGAAGTGATAAGTGCCCATCAGGTCCCCACAACTGCATGAGGAAAGGCCAGGCTAGACAGACCCATATGGTAGGCAGGACTTCTGGCAAAAGGTGATGGCTAGGAGTGATCTTCCTTGGCTTGAGGCTTTGTAGGCACAAGAACCTTCTCGAAAGAATCAATAGTTGGATTTATTGGGGTAGGGAGTTACCCCACACCTATACTTTCTTAGAAGGCAGAATGGAAGAAGAGGGAAATTTAAACTTAGCATTAGCACTTAGGCTTTTCTTGCAGATAAGGAGCAGTAACAGGGAGCTGTGAGACAGAAGAAAGAGGAAGAATAATGCATGAATTTGAAAGGAGCAGTGTCTGTGTTTAAGGCTTAGACAGCATCGCAGTAGCTTGAGACACTGGATGCTTTAGGTAAGATCTGTGCTAACAAAGCTGTTCCACCACCTCCTCTAGCACCTTAGAGCTTCACAGTGCTTTCTGATTCATTGCCCAGCTGTGCAGTTGGGACAGGGTCTGTCCCTGAGGGATGCAGGAGACCAATTCCCAGCGTGGGTGCTGGGCACCAGGTTCTGTGCACTGTGCCATGGTCTGCAGCAGGGACTCCATCCTTGCAGGCTTTGTATCAGTACTGGGCTGCAGCCTTCATCCTGCCCAGCATGAAGTGTAATTTTCTCTTCTCCTTCTTTCTCTTAGGCACATGGGCTCAGGCCCTCAGCAGGTGAACATATTAAAAGGTGATAAGTAAAAGAGGCCACCCAGTCAGTATCCTAAAGAAATAGGAGGACTGTTTTCCAGAGAACCTAAAAGTGCACCAAAATTTAATGTCTATTAAATGACAGAATGAATGACTAAACAAACAAACAAACAAACAAATGAAATGGTAAAAAATAAATGAAATGATGAGAACTCCAAATGCTAAAAGATTAGTACTAGTGGGATTTTTCCAATCTCTGAAGTTTCAATGCTTTTGAACCCTCCATAGCCCACTATTTAGGAGACAATGAGCTAGGACTCTGTGCTACCATGCAAATGCTCTGGGGAAGATCAGAGTACATTCTAGACCTGCACGGTCTCACACACCCACAAAGGGTGCGGGCAATTCTGAGAACACAGCAGCATCATGGGTCCCAAAACTAACACAGGGTCACTATTGAGGCCTGCCAGGAAGGCTGCCTCAGCCTCCGGGGGAGTGGGCATCCTTGTTCAGGGCTCTGTCTCGTCTTCTCCCAGGCACAGAAGCCCAGAGGAAAGAGGTGCTGGGCAAGATTAAACACCAGAGTGGTCAGATTCTTTCTTTGCTAACCATTGTGTGTATTGTTTAACACACAAGTCAGATGGGCAGGATTCCAGTCCCGATCTAACATTTTGCTCCACACAGTTGTGTGTCGCCCACTTACTGATCAGATAACATAGAAAAATTCAGGTTAATCAAGACTGCAATACATATTTTGAAAGAGGATGCCAAACGCTCACCGACTCTGTCCCTGAACTGGCAGGTGTGACTCCTGAGCTCTGTACTTAGGGCATCTGCACTTAGCTCTTTACATTTGGTGTGGCTCACTTAAGTTCAGTTAATGTCCTTGTACCTCAGTCCTAAACATAAGATCAGAAAGCTGAGAGAAATGAACAGAACCAAGGGGTTCGTCTTGTTTTGGGATGGTACATTCAACTGTAAGTCAAGGAATATGCAAAACAATTCATTCGATATAGTATCTTGGGAACTTAAAAAATAAAATAACACAGCAGCGCCCCAATCTGAAAACTCCACAGCTGCCTTCCAATCTTTTTCCTAACCTGTGCCTTAAAAGAATTTTTAAATCTCTTTTTCCTTGCACATTTTTAAAATGACATTTAAATTATTTTCTTCAAAGATTTAAATGACTACAAAAGTTAGAATTTTCTGCATACTGTCAAGATAGACATTTTAAGGTAAGATGGCTCCATTATTCTTTCAAAAATATATTTATTGCAACATAAATACAAAAGTATTTGATTTCAACTGCCATCTATTTAAAATACATAAACATTCTTTTTCTAGCTTTGGAAATGTGATATAGTTATATTCTATATCCATGCCTTTTTCACATTGGATTTTAATCCAAGAAAATACGTTTTCATGATTGAAAATTTGTATTCTACTACTTTGCCGTAAAAATGATGACCTTATAAGTGACAAGGTCATGAGGGCTCTGTGCTCAATGACAGGATGCTGTCATCATCATGAGAGTCAGTTCTTCTCAGAAGTGAGTCTGGCCTCTCCTGTTCTGCCCAGCTCACTTGCCTTCCTCCACCATAGGTAATACAGCATGAAGGGTCTCCCCAGCTGTGGGCCTCTCCATCTTGGACTTCTCAGCCTCCAGAACCGTTAAGAAATAAATCTTTGATCTTTATTAATTGCCTGGGCTTAGGTATTTGTTTATAGCTGCATAAACAGACAAAGAAGCCAGGCACGGTGGCACATGCCTATAATCCCAGTACTGTGGGAGGCTGAGACAGGAGGATTGTAAATTCAAACCCAGCTGGACAAATCAGTGATTTAGAAAGACCTTGACTCAAAATCAAAAGGGTCTGTTATGGTTGATACATTGTATCAACTTGAGAAGTTTAACTAAGAGACTCAGCAAGGAGCCAGGATCCTTACTTTGTAAATATCCTCATCTTGTGCAGGAGGAGGGCACAGAGATTTTTATGAGTGCTACATCCCCACCCTGGGATGGGGTGGCCTATGCACAATGTAAGGGAGGAGAAGAAGCTTGTTCTCTCCACTTTTGCTCTAGCTGCTGCCTTGAAGTGTTGCCCCAGTGCCACGCCACCCTGCCTTGAAGCCAGCTGAGTACGGACTGAAACCTCCACAAACTGTAAGCTAAATAAACCTTTTCTTCCTTCATTTTGGGTGTCAGGTATTTTGTCCCAGCAATGAGAGAAGAGTAACTAAGACAGGATCGAAGGTTCCATCCTCAGTACAAAGAGGCAGGGGAGAAAAAGAAGAGGAAGAAAAAGAGAAGGAAAAAAGCAAGGAAGGAAGGGGAAGGAAGGGAAAAAGGACAAAAGCAACCCCACACAGAAAGCAGAGTGACAGAGCAGCGCCTTTCCCCCTGCACCAGCTTCCTCCATCCAGGCTCCATTCTTGCCTCCTTTGGAGCTGGAACTCTCTGTCTTTCTGTCTCACAGCACCAGGGAAAAGGCCACGGAGAGCCTGGTGAGCCCACCACCGCCCTCTTTCCTGCTTCCAGCTGTGCCAAGACTGGAACCGAGCAGATGCTTGGGTTTGAACTGGAATGTGGACACCAGGGTATGCTGAGTATAAGGAAATGCATTTTGTTCCCAATGGGAACTTTCCTTCCAAATGTGCTGGGTCTCTGGAATAATGGTGTGGGCTTGTTTTCTGTGGATTGGAGATCGGGTCATGCTTCTTTTCTCCACAGTGCAGCCCTTTTGTCTGTATGTGACTACTGAGCCTCTTGCTCTCTCGCCCTCTTTACCCAGCTCTGAGTGCCTTAACTAGCAGGGACATCAGTGTTGTTGTCCACACTGGGTTCACCAGGCCACCGTCAAAGGCACTGTCTGCCTGAGCTGTTGGTGTCAGACAAGCCGGCGCCTCAGGCTCAGCCTCATCCTTGCAAGCATGCTTAAGTGCCGGAGGTGCACCACTGAAAACAAGAAGACAGATGACAATCACCCTGGACTCTTAAAAACACACTTGTCAACATTTATAAAGCACTGACTATGTGCAATGCCTTTGCTAGGTGCCATGGAAGGAAAAAGAGATAAACAAGACCTTGGCTGCCTGTTGTAACACGCGTACTGCCATAGTGATTAAAATTCATTTAAGTCCGTTTCCTTCCTTTACTGTGGGAGTTCTAAGGCTCTCAGATTCTGCATCCTCCTTTCATGCCAGGGTGCCACCAGCACGTCCTGAGGCCCAGGGCTGCCCATGCTATCCCTGTTTCCTCTGAGCTCTCACTAGGGCCACCCAAATCCTAATTTTCTCAGATGTTTGGAGCCCCAAATGTCTTCTTGGTCTGACTTTGGCCTTGTGATGTCAGAAGGGGCCCTAGATTTTCAGGACTCAGGAAAGCACTGTGTATACCATGCATATTTCTAGTATGCCCATAGGAGACTTTCTTCATTCTGAGTCTCAGTGATGGGCAATGAATGTGTACCCATCTTCCTTACTTTCTTCTTTCTGAGACACAATACCAAATCCCACAACTCTTAAGGTTTATGTTAGCTAGAGGTTTCAATCCACTGTCATCTGGTTCTAAGGCGGGAAGGCATGGCAGAAGAAAAATAGCTCAAGGCTTGGTGGCAGGAAGCACAGAGAGAGAACGATCAAGGAAAGAGGAGGGAGGCAGTCCGCAGCCCAATACCACATCCAGCTGTAAACTCATGGTGGACTAATCCACTGGTGAATGTCACACATCAGTGAGCCAATCATGTCCCCAAAGCCTCACCCATGAGCACATGAGGCTCTGAGTGACATCTAGATACAAACCTTAACACTTCTCCAAATCCACACATTGAAATCTATCCCCCGATGCAATTGTAT